GAGGTGGGAGCCTGGGTGCAGGGCCCGGGCTGGGTCGTGGGTGCTGGGCAAGACCCAGGCTGGGCAAGGGGTGCCAAGCCTGGCACTATGGACGCACCACCCATCACTTCTGGGGAGCTGCTGTGTCTGGGCTCCAGCCTTGCCTTCTCCGGACTCTTCTACTACCTGTACAGGAAGAAAGCCAGCGTCGTGGCACGCATACAGGTAGCCCTGTCCCTCAGATGCTCTCTCCTGCCCACTGTCCCTCCCCCGCTGCCCTACACTGCCTTGCCCAGAGCCTTTGATCTGGCAGCACCTCACTGATGACTGCAACCTGCTTCATCCTCTACCAGTGTCACGATGCCCAGGACCAAGCAGGTCACATCCTGCCAGAGATCCCCACAAAGCCATGCATTGCCCACCCTTTGCCTGCCAGTCCATCTGCCCCTGCCCATGTTCACACTCACTCCCTGCTCTTCCAGGAGGCCCCAAAGCTCCAGGTTGACGATGATTTACCAGCACTGGTGTCTGCGGCTGATGGGAGATGCCTGCCTTACGTCGCCCTGGAAGGTAAGGAGACCCTGCAGCCCCGCACCGGGGACAGGGGCTGGGCTCTCCTCCTTTGGTCATGATGCATCCCTTGGTCCCTAGGCATAGTGCTGCCAGCCAAGGCTGCGCTGACCAGCCATTACCATGAGGGGCTGCAGGGCGTGATCCAGAAACTGCTTCTGAAAGAGCATCGGCTGATCTGGAACAGCTTGGCCCGGAGCTGGTGAGTGGAGGGGAATAGGAGACAGCAAGGGTGGATGTGCACCCTTGGGTCCAGACTCCCAACCTCTCGGGGCCACTTGAGAGCCAGAAGATGGCTCGGTTAAAGGCTCTAGTCCCTACCTTTGGCTCAGCCCCAGGAGCCCAGAGTTCCTCCGTGTTGTTCACATCCCAGCACTGCACTCTGCTTGCAGGAGCGAGAGTGAGCGGGTGCTCTCAGAGCAGGTCTACACCGTCCCCTTCTTGCTGGCCTCACCAGACACCGAGGCGGTGACGCAGGTGAGCGTGGAGAGCCCGCTCCGAGCCATCTGTCTGCCGCTGGAGACTGTGTACGAGCGGTTCCAGCAGCCGGCCCATGGCTTCCGCGACCTGTTGGGCCAGTACTTGAGCGGGGAGAAGCCCAAGGGCATCCTGGAGACAGAGGAGATGCTGCGGGTGGGGGCCGGGCTGACGGGCATCGGGGAGCTGGCCCTGCACCCTGATGGCTCCCTGCACCTCCAGCCGCCGGCCCATGGGGGCAAGTATTTCCTGTGCCTTGGGGACTGGCAGACAGTGCTGGCAGAGCTGGAGTCAGCTAGTGGGCTCTGGAAGGGGGTGGCCATGCTGTGCGCTGCTGCAGGCCTGGCTGTCCTTTTGCACGCCCTGTGCCGTGCCTACCGCCGCGCCCGCCTCAAGCAGCAGCGTGAGGACAAGGAACTGGATGGTGATGAGGCCGGGGACGGGGGGCCCGAGGACTCCTGCGTGATCTGCCTGACACGGCCCCGCGAGTGTGTCCTCTTGGGCTGCGGCCACATCTGCTGCTGCTTCCGCTGCTTCCAGGCTTTGCCTGCCCGCCTTTGCCCCATCTGCCGGGGGCCCATTGACCGTGTAGTGCCCCTCTACCAGGCCTGAGAGAACTTTGGGGGGGGGGTGTGACCAGTGAGGGGCAGTGTGAACCAAGCCAAGCCTGGAGCCTGCAGAAATCTCAGCTCAGCTGTCCCCTTGCATGCAGCTGAGTGATTCCTGTTGGGAGAGAAGGGTCCTGGCATGCTCCCTCGTCTGTTTTTTTGTGTAGGGGGGGAGTTAGAGCCGTCTCGTCCTCCCTTTGTCTGCCAGAGGGATCCCCCACCCTGAACATGAAGGCTTGGGGGAAAACTTAGTGCCTGAGCTGAGGAGCCAAGTCCCCTGCCCCACGCTGGGGCAGTCCTCTGGCTGCCGGCTATTTTACTCGTGCCCCTTTCCCAGCCCTGACCCCCCGCCAAAGCCACGTGGGACTTTTCCCTTGTTCGGCTTTTCCAGCGCATGGCTTTGTGGGGAGGATGGCAGGGGCAGACCAGGGCTGCTGGGACACAGAGGAGTGACAGAGACCTCCCCCAAGCCACCGCAGTGGCATACCTTGGTGGCATCGTTGTCCTCCCCCCTGCAGTCCATGTGCCTACAGCCACTGCCTAGACCGTGCGGGGGCACCTGGGGGCTGGCGGGCATGAAATATGCCTCTTCGCTAGCTGCTCTGCCACCTGGGGAGGGGGATGGTGTCCCTCCGTCCCTCTCCACAGGGTCCCTGCTCTCCTGGAGTGGGAGGGGAGCCCTGGGGCGCCTCGGAGCCTGCCTGTGCCTCTGGCCCCCGCTGCACCCAGCTTTCCTGCCTGCCTCCCAGCCAGGAGCAGCTTGTGGTGGTGTGTGGAGTGATAAAGCCAAGGAGCCGAGCTCAGCCTCGCCTCTTCCTTCGCGCCATGAAGTCGGGGGGGACGTGCCAGCAGCTGAGACTCTCCCCCAGGGAGCCAGCCTGGGTGCACACCGAGCGATGGTGGGCATGGGACCCCCAGCCAGGGGCACCTCAGGATACAGCCCTGAGGAGGGAGGCGAGGGGGGGGGAAAGGGGGGGGGGAGCGGCACTAGCAGGCCTCTGGCAGCCAGACAGGAGCAGTGGGGGGATGATGGGATGATGTGCCCCCTCCCTAGGACAGTGGCCCCCGTTGCTACCAGTTTGGGGCTGGGTGCTGGCTTGCAGCGAAGGTGCCCCTGAGGCACTGCCCCCAGGGCCCACAGCCAGCCATGATGCCCCAGGGCACCCAGCGAAACCTCCCGGGACCCATGTACAGTTTTTGGGGGATTGGTTCTCCTCTTCCCACCCCATCTTTCAGCCCAGCCTCTTCCCCACATCAGCATGATGACTGCCACGCTGCAGAGTGAGCAGTGGGGCCCGGGTCCCCCCCCCAGAGCCAGGCATCCCCCCCGCAGCAGGAGGGATTTCAGGAAAGATAAATACCAGATGGGAGAGGGCTGGGCTGCCAGGAACACACTCCCTGTGTGCCAAGAGCTGCTGGCACGAGTGGGTGCGTGGGCCAAGGAGGGCAGTGGGTGCCCGCGCTCCCCAGGACTGCTCGCCTCGTTCCCTGGGGCCCAGCAGCCAGCTGGGGACAGGGACAGATAGAGGGGGACCCGCAGCCACCCACTCCCCTCCATCCCCACAGTCGCTGAGGGGCTGGGGACACATCCCCTGTGCTGGAGGAATGTGGGGAGATGCCAGCCCATGCTGGGACATGGCCTTACCCTGTGTGCCCCCTCCTTGGGTCTCTGCCACCTCTGGGAGGCCACCAGCCCCTGGGTGGCCTGGACTGCAGACCCCGCTGAGCAGCCCTGCCTGGCACCGCTCCAGGCAGCAGTGTGACTCAACCACTCAGCTCAGCACCAGCCCAAACCTCACTATGCCAAACCGCCCAGCACAGGGGCTCCCTGCCTGTGCCGCAGAGCCCACGCCCCCAGCCAAACCTGCTGTCCCCCCCGGGATTTTTGGTCCAGAACAGGACAGCAGGGGGCTCGCAGTGCCCAGGCTGAGCCCTGCCTAGCCTCCCTCCCCGCAGGGCCCAAAGGGGACCCAGGCATCCACCAGCAGTCATCCCCCCCCGGCCAGGGTCCCTGTGGGTGCCAGCCTGTGCCCATGGCCCCCACCCGCACCCCCCAGGGCTGCCAGCCCGCTTCCGCCTGCCTCCCTGTCTGTTGTCATGGTGACCAGAGATGTGGTGACAGGCGAGGATGTAGCTTCACACCCCAGCAGGGCTGTTCACACCCACCCCCGCCAGGCCTGGGCAGGGGACCCTCCGTGAAGCCCCTGCCCCAAGCAGCATGCTGGGGGTGCTCAGATGCAGCCATGACATCACTGCACCCTGGGCAGCTTGTGTGAGGGATGGGGACAGTGCCACCTCCCCCAACTTACAGTCGGAGCCCCCTCAGGAGCACCCTCTTCCTAAAGCCAGGCTGTATGCTGAGACCAATAAACTCATCTCACTAGTGACAGCCTGCTGGCTGGCCCTCGCTCTCCTGTGAAGGCTTGAGCCCTTCCTCCCTGGGAAAGGCACTTCCCCTCCAGGAAGGGCTTTTTGGCCTCATCTTCCCACATCACTGGCTGTGAGGCGAGGAACACACTGCTGTCCTGGGCTTGCGGTGGGCTCACCTGCAGCACAGCTGCTGAGCAGGATGCCTGTCCCCTGTCCCCCAATACCTCCTCACTACGGTGACGAAGGCCACCACAACTATTGGCACTCGTGGCCATCCCTACTTGCCTGCACCCAGCCTGGGTGCATGCCTCCGCTCCCCCAAAACGCCCATGCAAAGGAGCTGCCCGACCACGGCACAGGCAGCATGCACTGCGGCATCCCCACCTGGGTTCTGCTTCCTGGGAGCTGCGTGGCTACCGAGAGCTGGCGGCAATAGCCAACAGGGGAGGACATCCCTGACCTTGGTGATGACCTTCACCGGTCCCCCACACCGGGCTGGGTGCTCAGAGAAAGCAGCGGTGGCAGCAGCAGGGAGCTGGCACTTGGCAAGGCCCCCCGGGCCGCGGCTGCCATTGCCACAGAGCAGAAGTGCCATTTCACGTTTCTTGGCAGGGCTGGAAGCGGCACAGATGGAGGCACCAAAGCCGGCCTCCAGGCATGCCTCTGCAGCCCCCAGCCCTGGGGGGCCAGCCCTGGATGACAGCACCGACAGGCTCCTAGACCTGCACCAGAGAGAGCCCCAGGTCTGGTGGCTGATGTCTCCTGTCTCTTCCGAGCCCCCTACCATCCAGCCGCTGCCTGCCAGGCCACTGACTCCATCCCTGCCAGGCCTTGGGGACCACCAGGTGCTCCCATCCAGCCCAACTCCCGCTGCCCGGGGGTCCCTGCCGAGCCTAGGCAGGACATGCCACAAGCTGCTTGTGCACGCACAGGGTGTTTCTCCAGCGTAAAACCACTTGAAGCACCAGTGACTGCAGGGAAACCCCTCACCTCCGTCAAAGCACCCAGAGCTGGCACCCAAATCCCCACCAAGGGTGCAGGGCTCAGGGGCAGCATCCAGCTGTGGGGCTGGGTCACAGCACGTGCCAGTGGGCTCCCGGAGCATCACCCAAGGCCGGGTGGTGCCGCACAATCTCCATTGTCAGCCCCCACTGCGACTGGGAGCCTGGCTGCATGCCTCCGGCCCGGCCCCATATCCACCCCAGGGGGGGTCATGGCTGCCCCCCAGCCCTTGCATCACCTGCAAGGTGTCACAGCTTGGGGGCTGTGGCCCAGGTTTAAGGAGCCAGGTCAGGAAGAGCCGCCTGCTTCCTGCTCGCACAGCGCAGCCCCTTCTTCCCGCTGGAGCCGGCTTTGTGTCGGACAAAAGGCTGCAAAGGAAGCGAGAAAGGAGATTACGTGGCTGCTAAAAGGCGGATAACGAAGGTGGGATGAGAGCCAGGGGAAGGCGAGTGCACAGTCCAGCTCACCATGGGGGAATGCAACCTGCACTGGCAGGGGATGAAGGTGGGGACCCTCCTGCACCCCCCTGCCCACCCACATTCAGGTCCCTGGTACCTGCCCCCAGGGCTGCATGACCAGCAGCACCCTTGGGGAGCCAGAGACTAGAGATGTCCCAAGTAAATGCGGTGCCCAGAGCCACAGCACTGCCCTGTCCTGCCTACAGCCCAGCTGTGCCCGCACAAATCTGGTCCTCCTCTTGCCTGGGCTGGGTGGAGGATCCCTCCCACACCCCCAAAGCCCCACCAGCCCCACAGAGCTCCCCCCTGCCACTATAGCCAAGCCAAGCAGCTCCTCCAGGTGCAAGGCACTGTACAGGTTCAGGTGTGGGATAAGCGGGGCCATCCCCAGGGTGACCCCTCTCCAGCATCTCCCCAGGAGCTCGCCAGGCTGGAAGCCCTCCTGGAGTGCAGCACCTGCCCTGCTCACATCCCACACAGCCCATCTGCTCCTCTTCTCGCTCACCCCCAGCCCCGCGCATGCCACGGCCTGCCTGTCCCTGCCCACAGGCAGTGGCACGTGGGCTCAGTGACGGGAAAAGCAGGCCACATCTCAGCGTGGGCCTCTCGCCTATTTTCCCAGGCGCTTTTTGCAGGAGCAGAAGCCGTCACATGAAAAAGTTCAAGCTGGTTCCCCAGCAAAGGCAGGAATAACGGCACTGCCTTGCCAGCAGAGAGCGGGCACCACTGCCCCATCCTTGCTCTGGGAGGGAACAACGGGGACCAGTGCTCTGCAGAACCCAGCACAAAGGTATGGCTGAGCCTTCCCAAAATAGAAGTAATTGCCCTCTCGCATGGACCAGCCTGGCTGATTCTCTTCTGCAGCACCTTTCAACAGCATCTGAGGCCATGGAGATGCCAGCATGGAGAGATGGACCACAGGGCTGTCTGTAAAACCCCACTCTTCCTCCCTTGAGACACCCAGAGGGAGATTCTTGTGGGGCTGGTATGGGGCTGGCATGTGCTGCTGCCACACAGGGCTCCAGCTTTGCTGCAACCCAGCCCACCCACGTGAGCAGCAGGACCTGGATGCAAGGGAGCATCAGGAACAGGGCTGCCCTGTCGTGGGGCAGCCCTCTCCAACCAGCCTGTGCCATTATCATTATCCTCATCTGCAAGTCCAGGGGCCAGCCAGGTCCAGGCCTGTTCCCACAGCTCAAGCGAGGAGCAGCAGCCCCAGCCTGAGCTTAAATAGCAGCCCCAGCCCTAGGTGACTGGGATGGGGCATCCCAGGTGAGGCTGCTCAGGTCTGCAGAAAGCCCCCAGGGAAGGGCCAAATCATGGGGCAAGGGGCATCCAGGGCATGGCCCCTACATGGCCACACTCACAGGCACCTGCAGAATCACACCCATGTGTCCCCCACAGCCCTGCAAATGCACACAAATGGGCACACATGTACATGCACAGACATGTGCAGGGACCCATGCACAGGAGGCCAAGGGGACTGGCAGGGGCTGGGGCATGACCGGTGCTGCTCAAGGGGGGACCCCAACACTGGGGGGGCTGTAGGAGGGGGTCCCTGGATGGATGTTGGGCAAGGGGCATAAGTGGGGGGCTGGGGGCAACCGGGCTGGAAGCTGGCCTGAGGGGCCTGAGGGGCTCCAGCCTGCCAGGCTGCAGGAGGCTGGAAGCTGGGCTGGGGGTGCCAGGATGGGCTGGGGCACCAGAGTGGGGCATTGGGGGGGCGCTTTGG